AGAGAGAGAGAGAGAGTTAATACATACAACAATTTTAGCGGCGTTGTGCATATTCTTGCGGTGCAACTCATCCTTTGATTCTCCTTTAGATTTTGCATCATTTTCCTCTATTTGTGCGATAGTTTTCTCAAAACAGGCAAACATTGCCTGCAATTTGTTAATTGGAAAAAACAAATTGGATTAAGTTATGTAATGCTTTGCATTGATTTACACAATAAATCATATGATAATTACATTTGGTTTTGTGGCATAACAGCAAACACTGTTTTTATCAAACTTTCCGTCTGTATTACACACTTCTTTCGCACATTTTTTGACCGTCTCTTTAGTAACAAAAAAAATTAATTAACAAATTAATGCTTTGATTAATGAATGAGTTTACGTTACAAACCTTTGAGTGAATCGCTGGCCTCGGAATCGCATTTGTCGTATTCAACGGCTATACTCTTTTCCAACTTATTATTGCATCTATTGTTAAACATAGTCGTGATTTTATCCGTTTCTTCATCGCATAGAGTCGACTGAAACGCCGAAATCACGACAATTAGGAAACATATTAGGGTTAGTTTGTCAGACATTTTGCGGATCTTCTTATGACAATATATTGGCATCGATTCTGGTATTTATAGTTTTGAATAATACACACAATATTTTTCATTATTATTCCCAAACAATTGCTGAACAAATAATAAATTTTCAAATACAATAGCATTTAAATTCACTTTTCATACAAATATATGATTTGATTGATTGACAGTCACTGCAAGTATTGTCTATAGTTTTCAAGTTTAGATCTTATCCAAGACTTGATTTAGTTTTCCATAAGAGATAATTGAATAAATTATTAAATTTAATCAGTGAATATTGCACAGCTTTTAACCATAATCGTAATTGCATTTGAATCGATTTTGCCTTTTTGTATTCAACATTTGAACAAAAAATGTAAATTTAATGTTTTCCATAATATTAGGAATTTTCCAAAATATATTTTTCGCCATTTATTGTATTATTTTTATAATAAATCAAATCATTGTTTCGTTAGTTTACTCCTAAATTACAGTAAATCATAATTCTTGTTATTGATTGTGAATTTTGTTTTATGCAATCGTTTCATAATTTTGCACATAATTTCCATTATATTTTGTTTGTCTTATAATTATGGAAATTTATTTACTTTACTTTACTTTTTAAAACATTGTTCACAAATCAATAAATTTATTAAACATAAAGTTTTATTTTCAAAATTTATTCAAAATTTCTAAAAAAAATAACAAAAAGTATATAAAATATCAAAATCAATAACTAGACTAGATGAAACAATTTAATATACTGTATATTTTTAATTAATAAATATATTAATATTTTCACTAATATTTAAAAGTCTTTGAGTATTATAACTTATAATTTATAAATTATAAATTTATTTATGGAAATCGTTTATAAAATACTAATCGAAACTATTTTTCTATATTTATACTTAACAATACTTATGTTAAATCACAATAAAAATAATGTTTGAAATAATTGTTAAAGTGATATAAATTTAAAATCAATTCACATTTAATTACAATTAACAACAATAGCATTAATGACATTATAGTTAACAATAATTACTAATTTAAATAATCATTGAAACCGTTATTAATTAATCCGTAAAATTGTTATTGAGTTTCACTGAAAATCATTTAAATTGAAACCTTCTTCTGATTTATTGAAACACTTCTCAAATCCAAGACTTGAATTATCTGTAAATTGAATCCATAAGTGATGTGTCGAAGGATTTGTTGTTGTCTTGGATTTTGTAATAACAAAGAGAAGCAAAAGAAGAAAATGAAGTCAACGAAGAAATTGAGCGACAAATCAATGAAACCTTCGCTTATAAGGGATGACAAGAAACCCGACGACAAGACCTCATCCAAGAAAGTGGTGACAGAAATGAAGACAAAAGTCGAGACAAAGACTGACAACAAAGTGTTGGACACCAGAAGAGGCGAAGAGGCGGCCAAACAGGTGACACAAACCACTCCTCCGAAGGAAACGACATCTTATTATCCAAATGACAGAAAAGGGGGCAAAGAGTCGCCCGATTTGTCGGCATATATGGCGAAGACAGCCGTAAAGAACACCGAACTCATCAAAACCCATGAGATTTCGGACAAAACGGGTCGGAAAACCGATAAATTGATGGTAAAACTCGGCTATGAATTTGGCCAACAGTTAGGAAAAGGAGCCTTTGGTGTAGTCCACAAAGTGGTTAAGACAGAAACTAATGAAGTGATGGCCTGTAAACAGATCCAAATCAAGACCGAGAAGTTGGAGAAAATGGAGAGGAGTCTCATGTATGAGATATATGTCCTCAAAAGGGCTAAACATCGGTATATTATTGGACTGTTTGACCACTTCATCGTCAATAACAACAACCAAAGGATCGCTTATTTGTTCCTCGAGTTCGCCGACGAATCCACTTTACAGGTAGAGATCGGTTACGCAGTCTTTCATAACGACAAAGCCCGCAGATATTTGTCACAAATGGCCACCGGATTAGCGTTTTTACATCGTTTAAAGATAGCACACAAAGACCTCAAACCGGAAAATGTGTTATTAGTTACGAACCCGAAGACCCGCGAGAAAGACATCCGCATCAGTGACTTCGGTCTCTCACAGATGGTGTACAGAGAAGACAAGGCGGCCATAAAGAGTGGTCACTTCGCGGGCACTCGAGACTATATGGCGCCCGAAATCATCAAACAGGACGTCTATAAAGACGAGCCCTCGAGTGCTCACGCCTTACAATACAGTCCATTCATAAGCGATATGTGGGCTCTCGGGGTCTGTCTCTACGAAATGTTCACGCAATCGGTTCCGTTTAACTCTTCAGATCTGGACGCTATGTTAAAAAATCAAGAGCGCAACACTTGGAAGAAGTGGATCAATCGTCTGGTGTGGGATCAAGTGGACGACAATGCCATACATTTGCTTAAGAAACTACTGGAGCCCGACGTTCGCTCTCGATTGGATCCGTTCGGTCTCTTAGATCACCCCTGGATTCGAGATCACATCGATTGGTCTTTACTTAAAGAAAATTAATAGTTTATATCTAAAAATCCCATAAATTTTTGGCTACAAATTCAGTAATAAATCCGATAATTTGTTTAAACAAATAAATTTAATTCTGTTATTAAATGAATTTTTTTGACAAAGTTAATGATAAGATTAATGTATAAATATAAACTCTAATTAATTATATAAATAACAATTACAATTAATTTTAAAAAAACAATAATCTATGAGTATTTTTATGATTAAGAGATTATAAATTGTTTTGAGAGATAGTTTTGTGGACTTTCTTTGAATGTCGTCTCATTTGGGACTTATCTGTGAACCGACGCTCACAGAGAGGAAAGTCACAGACAAATGGCCTCTCATTCCTGTGAACCATTAAATGTAGTTTTAAGTTATGACTTGTGCTGTACTTCATNAATGGCCTCTCATTCCTGTGAACCATTAAATGTAGTTTTAAGTTATGACTTGTGCTGTACTTCATGTCACAGTCAGGCCATAAGCACCGGTAATTCTTTATGCCATTGTGCGATAGTTTATGTCTATTTAGCTTCGATACCATGTAATAACTAAAACATAACAAACATTAATATCGATAATAAGTGGTAAGCGTTGATATACACGTTTATTAACATACCTGGCCTCACACCCGGGCCACTCGCACCGGTACGGACGCTCACCTTTGCATAATAAACAATAACAATTAAATTATAAAAATAGTTTCCATAAACAAAGCCAAAGCTAACCCGTATGCGTATAATTATGAAGTCGGCGACCATTTTTGGTCTTAAACCTGGCCTCACAAGCGGGCCATTCGCACGGATACGGCTTGTCGTTGGAATGTATGCACAATCGATGCATCTGTTTATAAAACACATACTTATGATAACAATTCAATCAATAAATACAAGACTTACTTTTAAATCGGAATTTTTAGCATATTTGGCATCACATCCCGGCCTAAAACCACAATATTAATTATTTATCATTGAAAAATTGTTAACACATTAAAACACATACCACTCGCAAACGTATGGCCACTCGTTATTGTGATTATACGAATGACATTTAAGCCTCTCTTTAGTCTTGAAGGCGTGACCACAACCACTCCATTCGCACTTAAAGGGCGATTCGTTGCTATGAATGCTAATCGTGTGTGTCTTCAGCTCACTATTGGTCACGAAAGAGGACACACAGTCGGGAAACTGGCATTTGAAGGGCTTTTGACCGCTGTGTCGGCGCCGATGAAGGTTAAGGTTTGTGAGACTCTTGCACTGATAGGTGCAGTCATGCCAATCGCATTTGTATTGTCGGCGATTCCCGCTATCGACAAGTGATGCAAAATGTGTGGCCTTTCGGTGCAAAAAGAGTCGTTTCTGACCCCAAAAGGTTTGGCCGCAATCGTCGCAAACGAGCGGACGTTTGTTTAAATGCATTTTAGAGATATGTCGCGAAACGTTGCCCTTATTTCCGTTCATATAATCACAATTAGGGTATTCACACAAATACCCCGATATCGTGGCTCTCACTCTCATACCACTCGTCCCATCGGTCTCTTCACATCCTATGACAACAAATGGACACACAATCAGTCAATCAATCAAAACAATAACTTTATTTATACCCGAATCGACCACTTCTTCGTTGTCCACCAAATCCTTATTGTCAGCGCTTTTATCACCGAAAATAGGTTTCGGTTCAATAAAGTCTAGTCTTTGGCTCCGTTTCACACCAACGAGTGTCTCATTTATGATATCATTTAATCCCAACTGTGGACCTGTTGTCAAGTCATCTGCGCTTTTATTGTCTTCATTTGTCTTCAGTCTAACCATTCGCTTGTGTTTCCCTTTAATACCATTTCCAACAGATGTGTCACTCTTTAACGTGTCTTCGGATCGAGTGATGATATCGTCGAGTATTTGGTCCGCAAACAGAGTCTTGTATTTGAGTTCGAGATCATCGAAGACTCGGTTGTGTTTGAATTGATCCAAAGGGTGATAATTAGCGCTTAAATTGTGTACAAATGAGCGATAATTTCGTAATAATTCAATCAAATGAAAGGCAAACTTGACTTCAATTAAAAGCCGATTGTTTTCGTCAAACAAGTCGTGAAACAAATCATTGACACAGAGATTGACTGCATTTGAATCACACATTATTTGCACACAAAATATGCAAACAATTGATTTGAATATTGAATTTAAATCACATTTCGTTTGCTTTAACTTTGAGTGAAGTTTTATTGTGTAAACAAAGCGATCAAAACATTGCCATCACGTGATTCACTGTGAAGTGACAGCCAATGGCCGCACACTTTCATTGCATCACAACTTTATTATAACTTTAAAAACTTTTAAATAACTTATGAAATGTGATTTAATTGAGTTATTTTTAATTTAATTCATTTAATATATTAAAGAGTATACAATAAGTGATGCATTTTTTATAAATATTTTTAAAAATCACCGTATAATTAGGGTATACACTAGAAATAGTGTAATTTACTTTTATTACTTAATTTACTTTATTTTTACACTTTATTAAAACAAACAGATTATTAAAAATTTACAATTAAATGAAAAACTAATTATTATTAGACTATTTTATTTATTATATTCTGAATTGTAATTATTTCAAACATTATCTAATTATGCGGTAATTAAAAGCGATTATTATAATGTATGCGAAGTTTGACTGTTATGTGGGTTTGCGTTAATTGTATAAATAGTCGATGCAGTCATTTATCGACGACTTTAACTTATTTGACAAACAAATCACGAAATGATTTCAATCAAAGAATTAGTGTTTGCGTCCATTTGTCTCATATTATCAATGGGTGGAAGTGATGGCACTTCGACCACAATTCTCATCACAAACAAGTGTTCAGCAAATCTATTACTTCAATGCAACGGTTATAGTGAAGTAGAGCTGACACCCAATCAAGAGTTTGGGTTTAACTATTCGGCCGATGGCTCGTCGGTCACCCAATGTCAGGCCAGATGTCGAAACAAGTCGACGGCACAGACCTTCGATGTGTACGCCGGGAGAGCGCCCGCAGAGAGCAATGATTGGGAAGTTAGTGATGACGGCATATATCTTGTCAAACGAGTCTTATATTATTCGTGGCCTTAAAATTCATTGAAAACATTAAATTATATTTTTTGAATAAACAATATTTATTTTAATAACCATTTTGTGTTATAAATATGTATTTTATAAAATATACATCAAATTAGTATAATTGCAACGAATAAACAAATTGTTGAACTTATATATCAAAACACATTTTCTTCGGCCTTAGGATTGGTTATTGCGCTCATAATAGTATTGTCCGCGGCTTTGGTTTCATTAGTTGTTTGGTCTGAAAACTTGAGATTAGGAGTGAGTCGTCGCATGCGATTGCCGTCGGGATCGTCATTGGCCTCCTGTGCCTGAACTCCGCGACAGTATTTGTTGACCTTAATGGTGGACAACACGGCGTATGTGATGAACAGTACGAAGCATATAATGGCCACAACGAAGAAGAGAAAGCCGTAGAAGGAGATCCAGATGGCGATCACCAGGTATTGAGTGCACCAAATGACCGAATAAAAGGATTCAAAGAAAAGCCATTTAAACGCCGGAAACGTTTCGACGATATGATAACAATAGCATAACAACAGAATCGTCTCCACTGTAACAGAGATGACACAAATCACTATCAAATAGTATTTGGCGTTCGTTTCGGTGGCCGAAGAAATAGGTTTTACGACATCTGTTTGTATGGTTTGAGTTGAGTTTAAATCTTTCAGCAAATTATTCTCTTTGGTGTCCACCTCTTCGGAACTGATGTCCAAAATAGTGATGACAACAATCGCAACGCAAAGAATCGCGATTAGGATTCGTGAATAACCGACACAACTGTTTAATTCATTGCAATCAAAACGGATCCGTTTAAAGACAGTCAGACCAGTGTCTTGAGGTTGAGATTATAAAACTTTTGGGAAACCATACTTTAATAAACGAAAGGTCAGAAAGTGGCTAAGTAATAGACGGCTAGGCAACCGAAATAATATCAAGGAGTTTGAGAACCGCAGTGAACTAAACACAGGTTTCCCGCTCTTAATTGTGGCGCAAGAGCTCGATGTGTATCCATCGGGTATTTTCTGTCCTACAATTGCAGTGCATTTATTGTTTTCGCTGTCATATGTGTCCAATTTCTTGTTATCATTTAGATTATCAACATTTAGATTGACTTTCAATTCAACCATTTTTTAAATTAGACATTAATTTTCAATTCAATAAATGACTGAAATGTTGTCAACGGTTTGCAAAACAATAGAAATTAAGGATCAATTGAATTCAAATAAATGCGAGCATCAGATTCACTGTTTAATTCACATAAAGTTGTGCGCAATCGGCAATCAATTAATTGTTAAGTTAACGTTTATGAAAATTATGGTAAATTTCATTAACAATACTTTGGATACAATTATTTTAAACTAAATTAAAATTTTTAACAATGGTTTCAAAATTTTACCAAATTTTCTTTGCCGAGTTGCCAACAAAAACGTATAACGCTTTTGTCACAATCTTCCGCACACTATCACCAAAACCACATCCAAAACACTTACAAATCACACCAAACTTCACAAACCCATCCATAATGACCACAACTACTACTACTGCTTGCAGTGAAACCCAAACCACTTCTGGTGCCATACAATCGGCCGACAGAAGTGGACGACACGAGTGCTGTGTTATAAAGCTCTGGCGAAGAGTCAGAGGCAGAGCCCAAGACAGGGATCCGAACGCCACCAACGGTTCCACTCATGACACGGATGTCTTGGATAACACCGGAACCACAGCTCCGGCCATAACATCGGCTGTTGAGAGGAGGGGTTCAGTGGCGACAAGAGTTGGCCAACACTTTAACACCGCTTTCAAAGCCATCGAAAGGATTCCTAAAAGGATTCGCACCAAAAGACACAACCGATCGCTCGACAAACGGCTCAAGTCGTTAGGCTTCGGACCCAACGATTCCATACCAGAGATCAGCTTTGGATCTGTTATTACGATCCGAACCAAAGCTTTGTATGACTTGTCGGCCGAAGAAGAGGACAACGAGTCTGAGTGGACACCAAATGAAGAGTCGATAACAACAGACACGACCGACGAGTCGACCGACGTTTTGGTCACAGACTCTTCAGATAACACCACTCGTGAAAAACAGTTGGAACAGTCGGGAGAGTTGGAACCGTTAGCTCACGAACCGTTGGTTTCGTCGCACGGGTTGTGCCAACAATCAGTCCAAACATATGTCTCCACAGAAGTTGATGGCAACGAACAGACCATTCAGTTGTCTCACAAGAGATCCACACTTGGATTGAGTGACGACTCAAACGGCAATCAATCGGAAACCTCTTTAAAGATCGCCAAAGAATGGGATGAAGAGAGCAGTTGTGAGTCTCCTCTTCAGTGCGATTACAACAAAGAGAGCAACACTTCGACCGAAGAGGGGCTACAAAATCACTACAAAATCGACCATTTGTTGGACGCACTGAAGACAACTCTTCACTTCAAAAGTGAGTTCAACTCTATTATCAAAAACTCTTTGCCGACACTCTTTGAAAATGGCGTTCAATTGGGACAACATTTAGGAACCGGTGGTAACGGACTGGTAGTCAGCGGTCAACTCAACGGCAAACGAGTGGCCATAAAGTTCTGTAAGAGTTCTCTTCAATCGATTGAGAAGGAGTTGAGAGCAATGATAGCTCTGAAACACGTGAATGTGTTGTCCGCGCATCGCATCCAATACCCAAAGAACGGTTCCAATCGAGTGATAGTCATGGAAGCGGCCGAATGTAGTCTTCAGCGCTACACCTCATCACCCAATCACTGCCCACTCGACGCCCAATCGGCGCTCACTTTCTTTAAGG